GGGAGGGGAAATTTGGCTGCTAGGCTCAGCCCTGGCACTGACCTGCTGTGGCACCTTGAGCAAGTCACTGCCTGCTCCGTGCCTCAGTTTCCCTTCCCCACCCTTTGTGCTGAATAGATTGTAAACCTTTTGGGGGCAGGGACTAACCCATCTGGTCTGTACCTACCAATGGGAAACTGCTTGGCTGGGGCCCTTTGATCCCTATGGTAGTAATAACAGTATGTCTGACAGAGGGGTGGGTAGGCTGGCAGTTGGGCTAACTGGAGCTGGGTGAACCTGGGGAAAACACGTCCTCTCTCTTGCTGATTTTCCCAGTAGGGCTAATAGGACTGACCTGCTTTGGATAGTGCTCGGAAGGTCTACAAATGACATTAGCTGGGTATCGTTTCTGAGCCAATGTGCCTCCTTTAGCCCGGTTCACGTGCCTGCCCCTGCATGTGCTCCATGGAGCCGGGGCTGGGATCCCGTCTCCCTGTGACTGCTCCAGCCCTTCTCCGTTCATGCGGTGCGTCCCGCCACACCACGCGGCATCCCCCAGCCCAGGAGAGGCTCTGGCGTGTTCTCAGGTGGGATCTGGGGGAAGCTGCCATCAAAAGGGGCTGAAATTTGGGCCGGGTCCTGGCTGGAGGGTGCACTAGGCCAGGGGTTCCCAACGTGGGGTACGCATACCCCCCGGGGGTACGAGAAGCTTGTCAAGAGGGTACGGGGAATATTTGGTAAATAACTAGATTATCCTAATTGAAATATTCCACAAGTAGTAGTGTTAGTGAAAAAAGTTGTGGATTCGAGCATCTAGAATTTATTTCCTTTCATATTGACTAGGGGGTACGGGAAGGGTTACTAAAAGCCAAGGGGGTACGGGGACCGAAAAAGGTTGGGAACCCCTGCACTAGGGAAAGCCACAAGATGGACGCTAAGAAAGCAAGAGGGTAAGAGGGGCTGAATCGAGCCGAGGGGCCAGGGACGTGGTCAGGGTCGGGGGTGATGGAGAATCTGCAGCAGCTCCCCACTCACCTTTTGACAGGTCTCTAAAAACTCCTCGATCGTCACCACGCCATCCCGATTTCTGTCCATTTTCTGAAACAGAAAGCGACACTCGGGAACGGGAACGGAGATCCTGGCGCACCAGTGCCTCCGTGCAGTGCCGTGGTCCCCGCCCGCGCCCACGCTGCACCCGGCTGTACCCTCACGTCGACCTGCCCGCAATCCTGGCAGGCCTGGATGCCCAGGAGTGGGCTCTCTGCCTCCATTCTGCCCTGCGACTGGCATCCCCCATGGGACGAGCCTGTCTTCCTGCCTGCCAGCCCAGGCCTACAGTCTGTAATGGAGCAGTCCCCTGGGACTAGAGTGTGTCTGTGGCTTGTAACCCAACCTCGGTGAATCCGCACCAAGAGTCCCGGACGGAGCCCCTGCCTCCACGGCTGCCAGGGTCTGCCGTGCACCATTTCCAGCCGAGACTGCAAGCCTGCCCCTGCCATCTGCCTCCTGCCTGTGGCCATGTGGGAATGTGCCTCAGCCGCGGCTGTGTCCGCATGTTCCACCCCTTTCCATCCGAGTGCAATGCCACTCACTGCGGAGATGGCAGGCTAAGCATCGGCGTTAACCAGGCTAAGCACAGAGCCAGGCCAGACCCCTTGCACCCAGGCTCTTGGAGGAAGGTTCCCGCCTGCCTTCCAGCTAGCGCAGACTCCACGGCTACGTCTACACTGGCACCCTTTTCCGGAAATGCTTAAAACGGAACAGTTTTCCGTTATAAGTATTTCCGGAAAAAGCCTTTTCCGGAAAAGCACTTTTTCCGGAAAAGCGTCCGTGGCCAATGCAGACGTGCTTTTCCGCAAAAAAGCCCCGATCATCATTTTCGCAATCAGGGCTTTTTTGCGGAAAAGACTACTGTGCTATTTACACTGGCCCTTTTCCGGAACACTTTTTCCGGAAAAGGACTTTTTCCCGAACGGGAGCAACATAGTTTTTCTGGACAAACACTGACAATTTTACAGTAGATCGTCAGCGCTTTTCCGGAAAAGCAAGTGGCCAGTGTAGACAGCTGGCAAGTCATTCCGGAAAATCGGTTGCTTTTCCGGAATAAGTGGCCCAGTGTAGACACAGCCCACAGGTCTGTTGTTCCAATCCCATTGCCCTGGCTAGCACAGGAAGCTCCCGGCTCCTCCTGCCAGATGCCGGCGAGCTGCTTACCTGGAAGAACTTCTCCACGTGCTCTACTGGGGCATCGTCCCTGACGATCGGGTATGTGTAGCGGCCCATCATGTCGTAGATGGACTTCATGATCGCCAGCATCTCCTGGGAGAGAGAGCAGCACTTAGCACCGGGAGGCAGCCCAAACAGAGCCCTCTGCCCGTCTCGGCCAGGCGCAACGGAAAATCACGAGGGCGACACAATGGGTGGCGCTGATGTTTCCAGGTAGACCCTATGAGCCGGGGGACTTTATATCCCAGCCACAGTCTCACACTGCCCCATTGCCAGGTGGCAGTATGGCCTAGTGGACAGAGTCCTGGATTCAGAAGACCTGGGTTTAATTCCCACCTCTGCCACTGGCCTGCTGGGTGACCTTGGACAAGTCATGTTGCTGCTCTGTGCCTCAGTTTTCCCCATCTGTAAAATGGGGAGAACTTTGCTGCTCTCCTTTGCAAGGGCCTTTGAGATCTACCGAGGAGAAGTGCTCATGAACAGCCAGCTATTCTTCTGTGCCATGACTCTGGTGAGCTAAGCCGGGCCGGGCTGGGTTTGTGTTTGCACAGGAGACCTTCAGGGAGCACTGCGGGGCTGCAGGAAGCGATGAGGAGGATCGAGTAGGGGGTACGTGGGCTGAGGATCCCCTGGCGACGTTAGGGACACCGCAGGTGGGGTCTGCACACGGGAAGGGTGCAGCAGAGCTAGCTTCTGGCAGTGCACCGAGACCACAAAACCAAGGTCCTGACCACGTGTGGTTATTAGTAACCCTGGGACACTTCTTCCCAAAGCAGGTGCGCTCGCTGCTGGGCAGACGGGAAGCCAGCTCCTTCACTGAGCTAACCCCACCGGCTCCTGCCTGCCGGGAGCGCCGTGTCCTCCTGACACCTCTGCAGATGCAGCCAGACCAGTCTTTGCCTTCTGTGTCTACAGTCCTGAAGCAGGGGAGGCCACGCCTACAAGGGGGAACCGTCGTGTGGGGCCGTGTGGGGCCTGTGGCCTCAGGGACGTCCGGTGGCTTAGGCCAGGGCGGGCGTTGCCTTCCCCAACCGCCAGCCTGGCCCTGCCCACACTCCGCCCCCCGAGCGCCTGCCGTAGGAGTTCTGGGGGCGGAGTGTTGCTGCCCCAGCGCCCGCCCTCCTGGTGCTCCTGAGGGCTGGAACCAGGCGACTGCCTCCTCTCCCCTAGTGCTCCGGGAGCTGCGTTGCATGCATGCCCCCCTTCCCCCTCCTCGGCGTACTGCCCCTCTCCCCCCCATGCTCCAGGGAGGCTGGGGAGCACGGAGTGCACTGCTCCGCCTCGTCCCCTCCCTGGGGGCGGGGCCTCAGCAGAGGGGTCAGGGCTGTAGGTGGGTCTGGGAACCTGCCTCCCCCATCCCCAGCTGTACCAAACGCCCAAGCCCATCCTCTATGGGAGCTGAGAGCTCGCCCACGGGGCAGAATTTTGGCAGCGATCATCTGGGATTGCAAATGGGGCCCTGCTCGTAGAACCATAGAGCTGGAAGAGACCTCAGGAGCCATCAAGTCCAGCCCCCTGCCCAAGGCAGGACCAATCCCAACTAAACCAACCCGGCCAGGGCTTTGTCCAGCCAAGACTTAAACACCTCTAGGGATGGAGACTCCACTACTTCCCTAGGGAACCCATCCCAGCGCTTCACCACCCTCCTAGTGAAATAGATTTTCCTAGTATCCAACCTGGACCTCTCCCACCGCGACTTGAGACCATTGCTCCTTGTTCTGCATCTGTCACTACTGAGAACAGCCTCTCTCCAGCCTCTTTGGAACCTCCCTTCAGGAAGTTGCAGGCTGCTCTCAAATCCCCCCTCACTCTTCGCTTCTGCAGAGCGAGCTGCTATGCCACCCCGGGTGACAACCAGGGACCAAGCCTTCTGGAAGCTGGCTCAGCGCCGGGGTGAACCACAGTGGCCAGGCGCCGCGCCACACAAACCACGAGGGAGCGGAGCATCGGCAGGGCCAC